AGCAGGTTTCTTTCAGGTTGTTCTGCACATAGGACATAATTTTCATTGTCTTAATTGGAAGCAGTTATTCTCTGATGTCTGATTTTTTTCCTGCAGCTTTAGACAAGGGAAAAGCTTTGATCTGTTCTGCAATATTTTTTCCCTGCTGACTTTTTTAAAATCTGAATTTTTAAACTAATATGCTTCCCTCATGAGTATAAATGGTGTGACATCTTATCTCTTTGGTAACACGTTGTGGGGTTTTTGTTTGTTTTCATTTTTTTCTTTTCAAAGCAAACATATGAAGTGCTGTGCCTAGGGAAGAATAGCCAAATGCACAATTGCAGAATGGAAGATAACTAGCTGGGTAGCAGGATTGGTGACAGGGATTTGGCGGTTTGGATGGATCTGCAGACTCAATATGAGACAGTAATGTGACATGGTCGAAAAGAAAAGAAGCAAAGCAAACATACTCTTGTTGATGCAGCTCAAAATTATTAGATGTAAGACATGAGAAGTGATGGCACCATTCTACTTGGCCCTGACTAGGCCTTAACTAGAGCATTGCATGCAGTTATGGGCTCCACATTTTTAAAGGGTATGGAGAAGTTGGAAAGATATCAGAGGTGGGCAACAAAAATGTTAAAGGGGTTGGAAGGCAAGTTGCATGTGGAAAGGTTGAAAGGGGTTTATATAGCTTGGAAAAATGGAGATTAATGGGGAGCATGATAGCAGTTTTCAGTAACTTGAAAGGTTGCCGTAAAGAAGAGGGAGAACAACTGTTCTCCCTTGCTGCAGAGGGCAAGCTGTGAAGCATTGGCTTTAAATTGCAGTAAATTGGATTTAGATTAGATCCCAGGAAAAACTTCTTCACTGTTAAAACAGTGAATCAGCAGAACAGACTGCCCAGTGAAGCCCAGGGAGAATCTCCTTCAAGATTTTCAAGAGGAAAATAAGTATTGGTCAAGGATGATTTTAGAAATAGCATTCATGCAGGGGGGTTGAGCCAGATGTCCCTGGAGGTCCCTTCCAACCCTGTAGTTCTACTGTTCCTCAAGGGCACATATTGGATCTTCAAGTATGATAGTATTAATATCTGTATTAACAGAATAAGCCACCTTGTTTTATTGGCCGTGCTGTGTAAGGTTTTTGGGTCACTTTAAAAATGTTCCAAGTCTCAAACTGAGCAACGGATATGCATACTCAGTTAAAGTACAAATGTACTTTTAAGTGAAATATTTGCAAAGCTGTTTCTCTCTCTCTCTGCCAAGATGGAATATGAAGGTTTTGTGTTTTCTGGGCCAGTTGCCTACCTCTGCACTCCTCTCCACGTGGCTGATTACCGAGGTAGAGCTGCTGTCAACTATTAGAAACATGGAACCCTGGTTTCAGAACTTGGCATACAAGGAAGAGAGAATCTACTCTTGTGATTATACTTAGAAAAACAATATAACAAATTTATTGAAAGTTTAAGGCCATACATGTATTCTGACAGCTAAGTAATTAAACCAGTTGTGATTAATATATTGATTGATTTTTAAACAACATAGTTTCATAGTTTCATAGATTTAGGGTCGGAAG